ATATATATATAAAATGATGTGATATATATATATTAAAAATGATGTCATTTGTGATGTTATTTCAGCTCTTCATTGAGAATGAAAATAAAAAGATGACTCTGGAAAAAGAGATGGAAATGAAGAGATGGAGGGAAGAAATGGCATGGGAGGAACAGAAAAGGAAAGAGGAGAGAGAGGCAGAACAGAAGAGACGAAGAGAAGAGAGGGAAGCGAATGACCGGAGGAGGAGAGAAGATCACAAACACCAGATTCGCATGATGTCCATACTTCTGCAACTCCAAAATCCTGGCAGTCATGCTAGTACCAGTGCAGGTGGCTACGAGCAGTCACAAAAGTACAAATCAATAGTACATGTTCATATTTGAGTGATAATCTTAGAATTTACATAGTAGAATGTGTAGATGTATTGAAGATTTCTGTGCCAAATAAAAGTTTGTTCTCCAGTGCCAAATCACAATTCTTTTCATATATATATATAGAGAGAGAGAGAGAGAGAGAGAGAGAGAGAGAGAGAGAGAGAGAGAGAGAGAGAGAGCATAAAAGAAACATTAAAATATCTTGTGCATTTTTCAGAAAGTTTTATTTAGTGTAGCAACACTTTCTATTTTGTAAAAGCAGTGATACATACATTTGCGTAGCTTGTTGGATACATACGAGTAATTACATCAATACAATTTAGGCATTTAAATGCACAGGCTCCTGAAGGCCAGGAACACTGCCTTCAGAGCTGAAGACGTGGTGGGCCTCAGGACTGCCAGGGCCAACCTGTCACGAGGCATCAGACTGGCCAAGAGACAATATTCAAGGAGGATTGCAGACCAGTTCAAGGACAGCAGAGACACCAGGAACCTGTGGCGGGGGATCCAGACCATCACGGACTACGAGCTCTCTCCGCACACCTGCGACAGCTCCATCTCTCTGCTGAACAACCTGAACGACTTCTTCGCCCGTTTTGAGACAGACAGCAACACCCCAGCACAGAAGACCCCACCCCCTCCTGGCGACCAGGTGCTGACGCTTTCCCAGGATAGTGTGAGGCGTTCCCTCAGGAGAACAAACGTACGGAAAGCGGCAGGTCCTCACAACATTCCTGGTCGCGTCCTGAGAGACTATGCTGAGGAGCTCACAGATGTTTTCACGGACATCTTTAACACCTCACTGAGCCAGGCTGTTGTCCCCACTTGTCTCAAAGCCACCACCATCATCCCAGTCCCGAAGAAGTCATCTGCCTCCAGCTACAATGATTACCGCCCAGTCGCACTCACCCCCAGCCTCATGAAGCGCTTCGGTTAGTCATGCACCC